ACATCTCCACCTAGCAGTCTTAAATAGGACCCCTTCGATGTTTGGGTAACGCCAAACGAAAAGATTTTCAAGAGAAATTAACCTCAGTTTTCCCCTCTCTCCATGTCAGAATCTTCAGAACCTCCAGCCACTCGATGATTGCTTGGTGGGTCAGACCAAAGAGAACAGGAAGAAGAACCGCTATAAGAACATTGTTCCCTGTAAGCAAAGCATCACTTCTGTTTGTTTCTGCTTGGTGTGCAAGTTATTCTTTTTTTATTTAGGTAAAAACAAAAAACATGCCTGTGTGTTCTAGTCGACACGACTCGCGTGGTCATCGGCAAAGACGGCGGCTACATCAACGCCAACTTCATCAACATGCAAGTGAAGGACGAGAACTTCCTGTACGTCGCCTGTCAGGGACCTTTGCCCACCACACTGGGCGACTTTTGGCAGATGGTGTGGGAGCAGGATTCCAACGTCATCGCCATGATGACGCAGGAGATCGAGGGGGGCAAGGTAAAATGTCAGCGGTACTGGCCGGACACACCCAGGACGGCAGAGATGGTGGACGACAGGTTGCAGATAAAGCTAGTCAAAGACCAACATCTGGAGAACTTTGTCGTCCGACTCATTGAAGTCAAAGACGTCCAGGTGAGGACAATACCTGATCTTCATCTGTCTCACATAAGCCACACGGAAACCCTAACAGTTGAGCTTTTCTTTCTGAAGGCGAATGAATCCAAGCTTGTAACTCATCTGAACTACACCGGGTGGCCGGACCACGGGACGCCCTCACAGCCCGAACATCTGCTCACATTCATCTCCTACATGAGGCACGTGCACAGATCAGGACCCATCATCACGCATTGCAGTGCCGGCATCGGCCGCTCAGGCGCCCTCATCTGTATAGACGTGGTTTTAGGCCTCATCAGTAAAGATGCCGATGTAAGTGTTGAAACCGTTGTTTGTTTCATAGTTTGCTTCTTTTCATCAGATTTTCTAATGGTTTTTTTTCTTTTTCAGTTTGATATTTCAGATGTGGTGAGAAATATGAGACTTCAGAGACACGGAATGATCCAGACAGAGGTGATTTACTTTTATCTCTCTAGAAGCTGAGATTCATATCTTATTATCTGCAATTTCACCCTAATCTTTCACTTCTGTTTTGCTTTTTTAGGAGCAGTATATTTTCTGCTATCAAGTGATCCTCTACGTCCTCAGATGCCTTCAAGCAGAAGAAAATGTCTCAGGATAGAAGATCTTTGGTGACCAGTCAGAGCAAAACAGAACAAAAGTCTATAAAGGCAAATATGCCAAACTAGGTTACATTTTTAATGCCTTAAACTTTTTTTTTTTTTTTTTTTCTGAAGTCATTTTAAGAAATATATTTTTGCTTTTTGTCCTTTCCGGCTGCTGCTCCTTATCACTGCATTTTTGCAAGCTGCTGATTGTATTTCCTATCAAACAAGAGAACATGGATTTTTTTTATTTTCTTTCAGATTTTTTTTTTTATTAATGTTGACGATGAAATGATTTTATATTTTATGTGAACCATTTCTGTGTATTTTGATGCTGGAACTGGCCTTGACAGAATACTGTGTCAGTATTTGCTATGTAAATCTATTATACAGTTATTAAATACTGCCTGAGGCAAATGATAAACTAAAAGTGTACATATAAATCTCTGGAAGAATTAAAACAGATATGTTTTAAATATCATGTAGAGGAAAATTTCTTTTAAAAATAAGATTGACTATTACAGTTGTATTTTTCTTGTCATGTTTTGTTATAGGGAGCTTTTTGACAGCGGTTTGGTTGCATTCATGCCAAGTAAAAGAGATGCAGTCACACTCTGATCATTTATTACAGTTTTATCATCATTGATGGCTAAAAAAAAACATCCAAAACATCTGACAGGCAGGAAGAAAACCTAAATTATATACCTAAAGTATTTCTGTTTCGTTCCATACCCCTGCGACATTAATGCCATTAAAGTAACTGCACTCTCAAGTGTTATGTGGGCTGGGTTGTGGTATATTATGCTCTAATGAAATGTTCTTGTTTGTCTAAAAGTTTGTACAATAAATTCTTTGAGTCTTAAAACTGATAAACATTGACACACTGTGTAACAGTGCAGGGTTTGGGTAGCTATTTTTGCATGTCTAACCAGTATGTGTTACATTTATGTATAGGCAGTCTAAAAAGGCGCAATTAGCCTTAGATCAATGAGTGAAGAAAGACACCGATTGGATGACTGCTCCTTTACTGGTTCTTTCTCTATGCTGCCAAACATGATTTTAACTTTCTTAAACTGGAAGGATTCTCTTTTACAACGTATTTCGTTGGAGTTGAAAATAGCATACTATGCAAAGAGATTTAAAGTTTTTAAATGTGGTAAAGTATGAACAAAGCAAATAGAGTTGTTTCTTAAAGCTATTCGTTCTCCATTGTCTGAGAATGTTGTCCTCTATCTTTTGTCATTCCCTTCTCTCTAACTCTTCCTGCAAGCTTTTCTGTCTTGTCTCTTTTCACTTCTGCCTCTCTTTATCAGGGATACATTTCTTTTATTGTCTTACTTCTCCCCCCATTCCTTTTTCATGTTTCCTCCTTGTGTCAGATCATCCTTATATTGCTGCTTTCCTTCCTAGTGTTCTACTATTTCTTTTACCTTTAGTTGCCTTCTCTCCTTTATTGGCTCCTTCCTTTCCTTTCTGATCCAGTCTGTGTAAAACTCAACATACAATAGGAGTATAGATGACAGACTTCTGGTAAACAAAACCATTTACCATTCCATCTGTTTTCTAAGGAGCAGTTAAAAGATTTAAATGCAATTCTAGGCACATTGGTTCTATATAAGGGTTATTTTTATGTGACCATAATTATGTGCTATATTTTCTACCTAATAATGCAGTTACTATGTTTTGATGTACAGTAGAGCTTCATTACTAAAAACTTGTAAGGATTTATGCGGCAGAGCGAAATTGCATCAACCTAATAAGGACCATTAAATGGAGACTCAAATGCATATATATTTTTGTAAACATGTACTTCTAAACAGCTGCTCTTTTAAACTAATTTTACAGAACCAATTAAGAATGTTTTGTATCCGACATATTTGCAGGAAGTGAAATCCACAATGCGCTTACATATTTAAAATCAAAATGTCTTTCTTTACTTTAAAACCATTCTTCCTCTAAGTTGGATCCAAATGACTTTCTCTGCTGTTAAACTAGAGGAGGCTTCAGACCAATTGATATTTATATTTTTCGTTCTAAGTTTGAGGAGGGAAACATTAAAAAAACGTTTCTTCTGTCTGTTGCCTCAGTCTAAAATCCTTGAACAGATAAAGAGCACTTCACTAACAGATGGCTGCACTGCTGGAAATCCTGTCATAAGGTTTTCTGGGATCAAACTCTTATGGCTGGGCCAGGTTGCCCCCTTGTGGATAAACATTTGAATCAGCAAATATTAAACTTGTTTAAATCAACCTTAGATTTTATGGGGTGTCTGTTTGCTGTGAATAAATGACTACAGCAATAATGTGAGAAATAAAACCAGTGTAAGAGTTAAAACTGAATTTGTTATCAGTCATTAATGGGCTGATTTGTTTAGGATCCTAAATCTCTTTTTGTGTCATATAATCTGACAGCTCCACCCTGCTAAAATGCTGCACCCAATCTGGCATTAGGATTAATGGTTTAATAATTTAAAATACACGCATTGTAAAACTTAAGCTTTAACATTTCATTGAAAAAGGCTTTTACTTGAATTCTGCATAGGCATCTGAATAAATAAATAGATATAAATCTATTTAGGGAAATGGGTAGCTTTTCTTTTTGGACCTATATAACGACCAGTGGAAAAATTCACTTGTCACATCGGCTCAATAGTCAAAAGAAAGTGACATATATGAACATATATATCTATATATATATATAGATATATATATGTGTATATCTGTATATATACCTATACACATATATATATATATACATACATATATACACATATATGTATACATATATAGATATATAAGTATATATCTATATATATATATCTATATATATATATATATAGATATATATATATATATATCTACATATTCATATATATATATGTGTGTGTGTATATGTATGTATATGTAGAGGTATTTATATTAATAGGATTTTTTATACATATTGTATATAGCAACTGCACAGGGTTCGTC